ATATCTCATATAAGTTTTCACATCCTCTTGAATATTGGATAAAGAGGGTACAGGAAGAAATCTATGGAAATGAGATTAAATTGATGATGTTAAGAAAAATTGTGAAAGGTTCCATAATAGAGAAATTGGGGCTGTATTTAGAGAACAATGTAATTTGGTGCAGAGGTAGGTTACAAAATGCTGAATTGGGTGATTATGCTAAACACCCTATCTTACTGCCCAAAACTCATCATCTAACAAATTTAATTGTTTTAAATGCCCATAAAAATGTAATGCATGGTGGGGTACAAGATACCTTAAATTGTATTAGGGAAACTTTCTGGATTCCACAAGGATGACAAAGTGTAAAAAGGGTGATTAAATCTTGTGTAATATGTCGCCATGTGGATGCCAGATCTTATATGTACCCAGGTCCTCCACCATTGCCAAATGAGCAATTTGAGTCGTTTAGCAACGAACTCCGCCCAGTCGCAGTGTGGAAAATACTGTATATATTTTCCAGAAATACAGTAGTTATACGCGAATAGATGACCATACTGTATTTAATAAAAATTATGTTATGAAAAATGGGAAGCTCTGAAACCTGCACAGAGGAGACTTGCCATGTTTGAATTGAGAAAACACAAATGTTAGTGAATAATGGGAAGAATTTTCGTGCTCTAGAGGTTAAAATTGGGCTGACACCACTCAAATAGGAGCCGAAATTGTTGGATGTGCATTCCTGCATGACTTGAGATATCAGGCGACTGGACAAGACAACTCCAGGAACCTCAGATAAGTTTGTTTATGTTTGTAACTCTGGTCAGTGTTATTTTCATGGATAGACAGTGAGGTTTTCTGAGTATGATACACCTTGATCTCCAGTCAAATTGGTGAGTGATTTTAAAATATTCTCCTTCTGTTATGTGTATGTTTATATATATAATCCTTTATTAATTTAATATACAGTCCACAAATTTTTATTTACCAGACTTCCTGGTGATGTATCTTTCATTTGTAATTAAAAGGTCTAGAGAAACTTGGGGAAAAGAGATTTGTAGGTATCGGGGGGGGACATTTTTGTGACCTATGTAAGGGGGATAAATAATAATTATCTTTGTTATCATTTACTGTATGTACAAAAGAGTTACACTAGATTAATGCAATTTTCCACAATTTTGGTTGGCAGGGAAATCCTTTTTACCTGTTTTTAGAAACCTATTTTGGGTTTTTTTTTTTTTGAAAAAGGGTGTTAACACAATCCTCCCTATAGAGTAGGCATTGGAGTTGATCCAACTACAGAAAATAAAGGGAAAGGTAATACAAATTTATTTTCTTGCAAAATCATGCATTATATTTGTAAATGTTATATTCCGTTTACTCAGCAAGAAAAAAAAATTACAGCCCCCACCTTTTTTTAATTTAGCATTATTGGTGTTAAGTTTAATTTTGAAATTTTAAATTTTAAATGTAGATCAAGCTTTTTTGTGAAAATGGTGAAGGAGTGGGTCGAAGGATTGACATCCGTGATTTTGTGAGAAAGCCCCCACTTACAATCGCCCAAATTACTTGCAGTAAAAAATTCAGGTAACCCCTTTCAACTTCTGCAGGTTTTTCTCCAATAAATTTGATTAGAATTGGAAAAGAGTTTAATGCTTCTTTTTATTCATGCTAGAGTTTTTAACCACCCCCATTGGTTTTCAAAACGCGGAAGTTGTATCAAGCAGGTCCATGGTTGAAAAAAAGAATCAAGCTTCATAAAAAAAATTTTTGAAATTAAATGAATATTGGTTTGGATTATACAAATAGATTCATTTAAAATTAAATACAATTTGCGAAGAACTTAAAGAACATTCGAAAAATTTAAAAATTAAAAAAAGTTTGGGTAGAATAAAAGTTATTTTTGAAGGTCCTTGCCATTTCCCCGCTCATCTAAAGGAAAGGGGTGAGGTGTAGTTTTAATCCCACGAGGTGTACTCTCCCCTTATATGCTTTCTACTGATTTTTTTATTTTTATTTTCTTTGATAATGTGAAAATTTAATAAGCCCAGTCAGGAGGCTTTGCCCTGTTTCCTGACGAACAAAATAAAAAAAATCATTCCTGCAGCTGTCATGATACACAAACTTAAACCCTATTATCTAAATATAATGAAAAATGCTCGAAAACCATAAAAATCTTACCGGGTTTGGGGAAAAGGTGTCAAAAGACGGTGATCATGTTAGTGACCTGGGAAAGGGTAGGACGGTCTGAACAGTGATCCCTGAGTCACGATACTCCCAGTCTAAGATTGTGAGAAGTGATCTACAAACCCTGAAAAAATATTAGTGATATAATCTTTGACCCTAAAATTTAATTATATTTTTTATAGATTTTTGTCAATCAAATATTTTTTTTTTGAATCTTTAACATACTTCGGATTTAATTCCCTTCTTTTCTGAAAAACGATACCTTTATCAGTGATACAGTTTAAAATTTCATCCTAATATTTTTAGCCTTTAATAAAAATAAAAAAAATACCTTAATTTTTTTTACAAAAATACATGTACAAAGGTATACAGGCCTAGTTGCCTCTGACAAAAATTTCTATATAGAAAGTCGCTTTTTTTGCGGCATTTCTGGCAATTAGGTCAATTTTGTCCCAGGAGGGGACCCCCACCGTCCACTAACACCCCGGACCCTTTTTGTGGGTTGAACAGGGACAACAAGTGAAGGGAAAACCCGGCCCCTTCCCTCATGCATGAAGCAGACTTCCAGGCCCCGGACCAGCAATTTTTTGCCTTTTAAATCTTAAAAGATGGGGAAAGCCAATTTTTTAAAAGTTTTGTATTTAGAATGAATGGAAACTAAAGGTTGATGAGAAACCAATTTTTCTGGGTTTGGGCAGAAAGTAGTGGTATCCCAAGTAGGACTGAAAGGAAACGAAAATATTGGAGAGGGGAAATTCTTGAACATTAAAGTATACGCAAGCGTGCTATAAAAAAAAAAAAAACAGTGGTGCACTTAAACAAAACACGCATGAGGGTTTTGATTAGTTTCCGTACAAATTAAACATTATTCTTTTACAGGTAAACTACTTAATAAACAATTCGTACAAAAATTAAAAAATACATTACAAAAAGACGGACAGTTAAAGAGTTTTTTCATTAAATGTGCGTTGGAGTGTGATCTGGTTTTATGAAAGTTGCGGAACCCGAGAGCAAACTGGAGTTATGGAGGTAGAAATTCTTTGTACAAATTTTATAATTATTATTTTTTTGGGGGGCGCTAAACCCCTAGGTTTACAGCGCATTGGGTGGGGGTGGAAGGGTTTTAGGTCAATTAGCGAACGGAGTACAGACCAGTTCCCCAATCAAGACCCCCCCCGAATGTACAGTTGCAGAAAATAAATTCCTGGGCAGAAATATATAATCAAATTCGTAAAAGGGAGTGAAGGGGGGTAATTTTGTGATGAATTATCTCAGCTTTTAACAAACGATGGTGATGCTTTACAAATTAATTGCCCGGGATTTTTGGGCTCTGTTAGAAAAGATTAATATGCATTCATAATTATTACCCTTGAGTATTATATCCTATTATAAAAATAAAAACTTATTTAAAAGGTGACCGAATATATTTTAAAGGAAAATATTTTGTTAAAACAGGTCAGTAATCATCATATTGTCAATATATCTATCGTCAAAAATAATTTTCATGAAAAAGGTTACATATGTCTTACAGAAAAAGTGTTAATTTGCATAAATTAATTTAAAAATAATGCTATTATCCAAAGGGGTTCTTTAAAAAACCATGTAGTACTGTTTTTGCTTTTTTCAACCTTTAAAAATTCGCAAGTGTCCTTGACAACCAGTAACTAACACAAGCCTGTAATGAGTAATGACATTATTATCTCAAATATTACTTAATAATTAGCCTACCTACATACCTCTCTCTCTACATGAGTAGATATAATAATAATAATAATAATAATAATAATAATAATAATAATAATAATAATAGTAATAATAATAATAATAATAAATAATAATAATAATAATAATAATAATAGCAATAATAATAATAATAATAATAATAATAATAATAGCAATAATAATAATAATAATAATAATCATTATTTCTACAAGTACAAGGTATACAGTCATAGCTGACATCAATGACATACTACTATATAGAGAGCCGCTTGTTATGCAGAGCATTTCTGACAAATTAGGACAGTTTTGTCCCAGGATGCGACCCATACCAGTTCACTAACACCCAGGTACCCATTTTACTGATGGGTGAACATAGACAACCGGTGTAAGGAAACACGTCCAATGTTTCCACCCCTTCGCCGGGAACCGAACCCAGACCCTCACCGTGTGAAGCGAGAACTTTTGCCACCAGGCCACGGTGCACCGTAAATGACTGATGTATAATGATTACAGATCTGTTATCAATCATAATATTCCCTTTACACTATATCTGGTCACCTTTTCAAATAATTTTTGTTTCTATAATAATTTGTATAATATCTGAACGGTATATTACATCAAATATTATGTATGCATTCATAAATCTATTTCTGTATAGATGTACAGAATGTACTGGCAATTAATTTTGTAACCATGTCGTTACAAGCTGTGTTATTTCTTTCATAAAAATAGCCTTTACTCCTCTGTTTCATACACAAATAACCCGCACATAAAAGAGAGGCTTACGACGACGTTTCGGTCTGTTTACTACGTCTGAGTTGCCTGATATTATTTCTGCTCAGGAAAGACTGTCCAAAAACTTTTTTTTTCAACTATATATGGGCTTAAAGCCTGTCGACTACTCAAGATTCGTTAAGCCTACAGTAACCTGTTCATTACCAGTCAAAAATACAAAAATACTAAAGCTAAGGATTAAAGTCAACACCTCTCAGTGTATATATCTTGTGTATATTTAATGTTGTTGGTGAGTGAGTCACACTGTTGTTTTTAGAAAGGCGGCTGTAGGATGTGATAGATGAATGTATTTTCTATGGGTAATCCTCTTTTGATGGAATATATCCAGTGTGTTAAAAATATTTGTAAGACTTCATGTCTTCGTAATAATATAGTAAGAGTGATTGCATTAAAAATACCTTGGTAGCTGTATACATTCCTGCTAGAGCCACGGGGTACAATCCAGAAATGGAACCAATGTTAATTATTGCTCCCTTGCGTCTAGACAGCATCCCCGGAAGGACAAGGTTTGTCATGCCTGGTACAGATGCCACATTCACATTGATAAAACTCCAAATATCTTTCTCGGAGAGATGTATAAACTCCATCAGTGTCGAGCTGTTCATTCCCACGTTATTCACTGGAAAAATAACACACATTAAAGCAATTTCAATATTTATTAACCCCTCAAGGAAGGTTCCTTGATGTTGGTGAGGGGCTCTTGATTTAGGGAATTGGATCTGTGCTCCAGTTTCCCAAATTAAGCCTGAATGCCTTCCACATCCCCCCCCCCCAGGCACTGTATAATCCTCTGGGTTTAGCGCTTCCCCCTTGATTATAATAATAATAATAATATTTATTAAATATTTATAACTGCAATTTTTGAAAATACTTATATAATAGAACCACTGTGCTTGCATTTACATTTATTGTTCCAATGCTTTAATTTAACATAGGATGTAAACACTGAGATGCATATATTTGATGAAGCGTATTGTTTTATTAGTCAGGAGACAGTTATTGTTATTATAATCATAACTAAGCGCTAAGTCCACATGGGTCACACAGCGCTAATCAGGAGCAGGGGCAGATCTACGGTGAAACTAATTAAGCTTAATGACCCTCGTGTAGTCGATAGGTTTCAACTCCCATTAAGCATTAATTTTACCTTAATTTTTTTTTATAATTTTTAGTGAAAAGTAGACCACTATCTTTTGATTTCATTTGTACCAAGTTTAGATGCCACTCAATGTTATTTCTTCTTTCTGTTACCCTCCGAAGTTGTGTCACCTTTCTGAAAAATTATAAAATTGCCTAATTTACCTAACCTGTCTAAGAATTTACATTTCGATATTTTATTTTTTTTGAGAGTGGGTGAATATTCAGGTGATCCGATGAATATAATGGACTTTTATAGCATATTTAAACATTTAGAGAACACGACACTTACCTAAGATGCCAATTTCCTTATCCTGAAGACGCTTTCTTATATCTTCATAAATAGGTCGCCCGTCTAGGAAGTTTTTTTGCACAATTTCCGTTTGAACTTTATACTCCTGCACTGTAAGAGTGATAATTCCTCACTATAATACATTCTATTATTGGCATTCCTCTTCACAACTTTTACAAATACAACATTTCTTTAAGACTGTGTTCAAGAAGATAGAACATGTTTTGAGAGGCAAAAAAAAAATGGAGATAAGTATAGCAGAAGACACTAATAGCAAATCAAGTGTTTATTTAGTCTGGGAAAAATGCTGACCATTGAGCGAAATGTTCTGCTTCGCTGTGTCTTTGTTCATGAAGATAAATCATTGTGTAGCGTAAGTGATACATACATTAGGTGTTAAGATAAGGCCTATCAACTGCCTGAATTATGAAAAACTTCTTTCACTTAGTTTCTAATCTGCAACTTTACATTCTAATAAATTTCAGTTCTTGTGATCTTTTTATTTCAAATTCTGATAAAAAATTATCTAAACTCTTTTTTAAAAGTAATGTCCAGTATGGCTGACGTTCCATACCTTAATGGTCATATTATTTGTCTGAAATAAAGCATGTTTTAGTTATATGCTGGTTGTTATTGTTATAATGCTCGGCAGAAGACAGGACAAGTGTCTCCTGACACGGGTCTTAATCATATAGATGACCCGTTTGAGATTATATCCTGGCTCACTCAGTGGAACTTTCGGTTATGTGACTGAGACCTACAGCTAGTTTTCCATTTCCGCTCTTAATTAAAATATTAAGCATTCTGTGTGATGTAAAGTTTTCTGTCCCGTATGAGAACCAATGAATTACTGTGATGTTTAATGAGTATTACAAAAGTAATCTTCAGTGACGTCTTAATTTTTCTTTTATAATACTCTCCAATTCTACTTTCTCTAAGGTTGTTTTTCACTTCTGTATTCGACTGATGAAGTTTGCTGCGGAAGCGAAACGTTTGGTAGATTAAACTACTTGTCAGTATTGTATACCATTTATAATATCTCAGTCAACCATAAGCATACAGACCACTTCAACTCACCAATTTCATCAGACACTTTTTGCAACTTGTCGAGGGAGCGGGAGATGAGGACAATATTCATGCCTCTCTTGGCCAGTTCCTTTGCATATTCTTTCCCAATTCCGTCTGTACAGCCCGTCACAACTGCAAATATTAAAATAAAAATACTTTAGTCGATAATTTTGCCCTGCCCTCAGTGACAGCAACGACCACTCCTCCACTCTAGGCAACGACCGTGTAGTTTTCAATTATTTAAGATGTGTTTCCGGTTGCCAGACTTAACCCATCTGTTTATGTAATTTGGTTATTAGTATTTAACTACATGTAAATATAGGTTAGTTAAAGCTAATGTACATTAGACTTCCACGCGTCGAACTGAATTGTTAGCTATGAACGTCTTTCACACAGACATGTCCACGTGTCTAATGTTGAGACCTTACTTGATCGTCCGTCAACTTTATTGCTGTACATGAATGGTATACAATACCGACAAGATGAAAATTAGACACATATGCAAAACTGGGTATCATTATTGTAGACGTTTCGCCATCCAGTGGCTTTATCAATACAAATTCAAGGACTTGACTGGAAGACATAAGAACTATATAAAAAGGATGAGGTAATCAGTCCCTCACTCTTGGAGTTGGTGTGAAGAGCACCATAGTCGTGAAGATTCTGTAGCACAGGCAAGATCAAGATCAAGAGAGTTATAGGTAAGACCCTTGTGGGGTGAGCGGGGAAGTGGGGATAGTGGAAGAGTAGGTTGGTGAGAGGAAGGTTATGAGTGTAAGAGATAGTACCAGGGTTTAAATCGTGGGTCAGAGACTGGTAAGGACTAATAAGGCAAACGGATTGGGTGGATGCCAAAACGAACATACAGAGGTACCTCTGAGAAAATCCAATGGTGATGTAAGGAGGGCAGGGGATTTTAAAAGATACATCTTTTGAGGCACACACCTGTTAAGACAGGTTAGATTTTTTTTTTTTTTTAGATTTTGCCACCGAAGTGACTAGTTTACTGTGCACCCCATATCCATCCTGTGGACAGTAGCGCAAGAGCATTTGGATACACAAAAGGCCTAGGAACTAGGCCCCAAAGGGTTAACAGGAATACATATGGATTTATATCTACATATCTATAGTTCACTTATCTGTTACAAGCAAATTTAGGAAATTTGCTTAGTATATCTGGTATCTTATTTTCACTAATAATATATCTTAACATGTCACATAGGTTATTATACTGTCTATCTCTGTATTCCTCAATAAATGGACAATTAAGCACATAGTGTTCAAGACAGTGACCATATGCCTGATCATATAATTTACATTTAGTTTGATCATCATCTGTGTGTCTCCCAAACTGCCAGAAGTGCTTGCAACCAAGCCTAAGCCTGGCCACTACAACATCAGTCAGTCTGTTCACATTGCACGTTGCTCCATAAACATACTTATCTACGTTCATGTTATAACAATCATTTTCATTATAACAATCATTTTCATTATTTACTTCTCTCCTAATAGTGAATGTATTCGTCAAGGTGAGAGGTTCAATAGTCATGTAGTGTCTCTAATTTGTCAATCTGTCACTGAGCGTCTTCCAGTACAGGTTCAGCGCCGGGATGTTTGACTGGGCATGGAGTGACTTGCTTGTGGCAAAGTCATCCTAGCAGACATCAAACACTCAGCGCGGAGCTTTGTTCTGGATACGCTGCAGTTTAAGTTTATTGAACTTAGCCACAAGAGAGAGGGCTAGAGGAGAGTAAGTAATTAGAGGTCGTATTAGAGTTTTGTAGAGGTGTAGTTTGGTACGTTGTGAAGCATGCCGTAGCTTGTAGAGACCTGTTAGAGCTTTACTAGCTATGGCAAGCTTTGAGTAGACGTGTGTGTGTATACGAAGAAGGTGGTCAAGATTGAGCCCGAGGACAGTGGTAGACTTTGTGATGGGGAAGTAAGTGCGGGTGTTAGTTGTTCTGAGCTCGACAGGTAATGAATTTTGCAGTATTGGATTTGATCTCCAATTTTTGTTCCCAGAAGGCTATCATGTCGACCTCATTTTGTGTTTTGTGTGCGAGTGTATGTATACTGGATTGAGTGATGAGTTGTGAAATGTCGTCTGCATAGGCTAGAGTGATGGTGTTGTGGTATACAGGTGTTGGTATGTCATTAGCATTTAGTGTGAAATTGTGTGCGTAACAGCCTTGGAATTGAATTCTCATGGTACGGCCATCTAAGAAGTCACAAAGGAGTTTACGAGTAGTGAGAGGCAGGTTAAAGTTAGAGCAGAGTTTGTGTTTTAGCCCTTCGTGCCAGACTATCAAAAGCTTTTTCGACGTCTTTTGCAACCAGGGTTGTCTTGTTTCTTTGTTTAGTTTTTATGTGAATGTAGTTGAGAATGATGTTGATGGCATCTTGTGTGGAACAGCGTGATCTGAAGCCAAACTGGCCGTCAGTGAGGAGAGAGTCGTGCTCAAGGTATCTGTGAAGGCTAAGGTTGATGAGTTTTTCAAAGAGTTTGCCTAAAGTTTCAAGGAGGCTGATAGGGCGATAGTTTTTAGGGTCAGAGTGGTCTTTATTGGGTTTAGGTAGGAAGATAACAGTAGCAGCTTTGAAGAGGGAAGAAAAGTATCCAGAATCGAGGGAAGCATTGAGGAGGTTTGTGTAGGCAGTGATGATGGAGTTTGGAAGGTGTTTTAAGACAATATGGTTTAGGCCAGAGGCACCAGGAGCCTTGGAAGGAAGGTATCTGAGGAGAACTTTAATGTCTGAGTTAGTGAAAGGTGTGTCGAGTTCCTGTGTGGAGGTGAGAGAGTCCAGGTGGATGTGACTGTCTGGTGTTGTTTCGTGTGTGTGTGTGTGTGTGTGTGTGTGTGTGTGTGTGTGTGTGTGTGTGTGTGTGTGTGTGTGTGTGTGTGTGTGTGTGTGTGTGTGTGTGTGTAATCCAGTGTTCTATGTGCTGTATGTCTTGAATAGCGTTAGGATGAGGTGGGTGAGGGTGAAAGATGTTTTCCCAGATGTGCTTGAAGATGTTTGTTGCTGCCTGTGGGTCTGTGATGTGTGGGTTGTGGGTGATGTGTTTGAATTTGTTGGTGAGGGAAGTGCCTCTGAATTTCTTGTAGGAGAAGGAAGGTGTGGTTAGGATGAGAATAGGATTTGAAGAGAGGTGTAAGATAACTGGGATATGATCAGAACCTGTAATAGGACCAGGGAAGATGTAGTGTTGAAAAATAGAGCTAGCTCGGTTAGCCAGAATGATGTCAGGTTTGCCTTGGTCCTGGTGGCTGTAGAAAGTGTTGAAGTTTGGGCTGAAATGAATCTGGTGTTTGTGGTTAGTCAAGTTGTGTAATAGTGTACCGACCTGGTTTTTACTGGTGGGGTGAAAGGCGATGTGTCCAGCATTCATATATGCTAGTAGGTAAGTAGGTGTGTTGGTGTGGTTGAAGACTAAAGAGAGGTCGTGTATGTTGAGATGAATGTTGGGACGTGTGTATGTCGTGAAAAAGATGAAGGGACCAAAGTGGGTGTGTATTTTGACTGCAAGACAGTCTTGGTAAGTGAATGGAATTGGGAGAAATTCATGGTTTAATTTAGAGATAACAAGAATGGCAACACCATCGTGTTGTTGTTGTGTAGTGTAACCATAATGGAGAATTCGTTGAGGGGCTTTGAGGCAGCAGATGCAAGATCACATCCAGCCTCTCTGTCTCAAGGAGCTCGGCCAGTAGGTGAAGAATGTAAGTTAAGCTGAATTAACTCAAACATTATTTGATGGGTCTGTCACTGCAAAGTTAATGTCAGGGGAGAGGTTAGGGGCAAAATCCCATGATGGTGGTGCCATCATGGGAAATGTGAAAGTTAAGACACATGTGCAACATCTGGATATCTTTATTGTAGACGTTTCGCCATCCAGTGGCTTTATCAATACAGATTCTAGGACATAATAGGAAGACAGTAGAACTATATACAAAAGATGAGGTAATCAGTCCCTCGGCCTTGGAGTTAGTGTTCACAGCATCGTGGTGGAGGAGAATCTGAAGCAAAGGCAAGAAGACTGACTTGCCTTTGCTTCAGATTCTCCTCCACCACGATGCTGTGAACACTAACTCCAAGGCCGAGGGACTGATTACCTCATCTTTTGTATATAGTTCTACTGTCTTCCTATTATGTCCTAGAATCTGTATTGATAAAGCCACTGGATGGCGAAACGTCTACAATAAAGATATCCAGATGTTGCACATGTGTCTTAACTTTCATATTGTCGGTATTTTATACCTTTCTTGCACATGGGAAATGTGTTTATAGGGTGGATAATGGGAACGTTCAAAACAAGAGATGTCAAGCCAGTAATGATCCTTTTAAAATCACTTGTTCGCTCTAGGCTGGAATACTGCTGTACATTAACATCTCCTTTCAAAGCAGGTGAAATTGCAGATCTAGAGAATGTACAGAGAACCTTTACTGCACATATAATTTCCATCAAACACCTCAACTACTGGGAATGCTTGGAAGCACTTCACTTGTACTCGCTGAAACGCAAGCGAGAAAGATATATCATAACCTACACTTGGAAAATCTTAGAAGAAATGGTCCCGAATCTGCACAAAGAAATCACTCCCTACGACAGTAAAAGACTGGGCTGGTTATGCAAAATACCCCCAATGAAAAGTAGGGGCGCCATTGGTATACTAAGAGAAAACACCATGTGTCCGGGGCCCACGACTGTTCAACAGCCTCCCACTATGCATAAGGGGAATTACCAATAGGCCTCTGGCTGCCTTCAAGAGGGAGCTGGACAAATACTTAAAGTCGGTGCCAGATCAACCGGGCTGTGGTTCGTATGTTGGATTATGTGCGGCCAGCAGTAACAGCCTGGTTGATCAGCCCTGATCCACCGGAAGGCATGGTCGTGGACCCTGCCGCGGGGGCGTTAATCCCCGGAATACCCTCCAGGTAGACTCCAGATAGGTATAGTCACGGGCCCGCTTCCTGTAAAAGGTGGTAGATCTGGGTTGTGGGAGTTTATGTTCTTTTGTTTGTCTATCAAAGGTCACACCTTGCGTCATTATGTACTGGAGTGTGATCAAATTAATGAATTTAGAGACAACTCACTCAGAAATGTTCAAGAAATGGCAAAGTATTTTATCCACAGTG